ACCGTGCGGGAGCTCGACGTAGATTTCTGCATCCACAGGTGCGTAGAGGAAGGCATTCGCGACGTCGATCTGCCGTAACTTCTTCTTCTTCATGGCGGCAATGGCGAGGAGAATTCGGAGTGACGTGTGGCGACTGACTGGAGCAAAGGTCTCGGTGAAGTCTCGTCCTTGCTCTTGGTCGAATCCACGTACGACCCAGCGTGCTTTGAATTTTTCGATCGTGCCGTCTGCTTTCGTCTTGATGCGGAAGACCCATTTCCCGGTAAGGATGGTTTTGTTCCGTGCCACGCTTACGGGAACAACCTTCCAAGTGTTGCGTTCCTCTAATGCCTTCAGTTCTCTATCCATGGCTTCACGCCATTTCTCCCTGTGTTCCCCCCCCAGAGCCTGCTGAACCGTTGCAGGCTCCTTAGGAAGCGAGCTGCGTGTGTTCCCGTGGACTGCGGTGACGAGGCCGAGGATTTGCAGCCCAGTCTGTGAGTATCGAGGGAGTTCTGGATCCTCGGGATAAGCTGCTTCGTCTCCCGTTTCTGGGTCGGGCATGAAATTTGGCCCTACCCTTTCTGCTTCGTTGGTGTTGACTGTCACAGGTGTTACGTAACCATCGTCGGCGAAACGGTAGAAGATTTCGGCGTTGTTACTGTCGCGAGGATTATCCTCATCCATGGGCACGTCGACGGAGCAGTATGGGAGAGGTCCGGCTTCTTCTGAGGCGTTGTCGACGTTCTGTTCATCCCAGTCTGCTTCGTCCGCTGCTGACGCGAAGGCTCGGTCACCACGAAAACCACTGGTGAGGTCCCGATTCTCGTGCAAGTTGGCGAGGTACGTCTGAAGGGTGAGTCTTTCGTAGAAGATCACGTCACGTGCTGCTACTGTTTCCTTTGTGTGGACGTCGAAGATTTTCCATGCGTTGTAATTTTTCTCGATGCCGAGGTGTAGTCCCCACTGTGCCCGTTGCGAAAATCTTCCCGCTCGTGCTTCTGGGGGTCTGTACTGTACCATGCACCCGAAAACTCGTAACATTTTCGTGCTGCCCTGCTTCCCTGTCCACAGCAGATGCGGTGATGCGTTGTTCGGGAGTGACGACGACGACAACAAGTTGTGTAGCATGACAGCGTGGTCCATTGCTGCTGGCCACTGGTGGTTGGGTAGCCGCATGCCACGTAATAGTTTGCGCATGCTGTTCTGCAGGGTCCTGTTCAGTCGTTCTGCAACACCTTGCTGCTGATGTGCGTAAGGAAGGGAGAGGAGTTGCTTGATCCCCCTTTCCGCCAAGAACTGCTTGAAGCGGTGAGAGGTGTACTCGCCACCTCCGTCTGACTGGAATTTTTTCAGTTGTGTTCCAGACTCTCTCTCTGCTATCGGTAGCCAGGCGGCGAATGCTGCGAGCGCCATGTCGCGGCTGGGTAGGTTGCGATGCCAGACGTATCGAGTGGCGGCGTCGATGAAGGTGATGGTGTAGTTGTAGTTGACTTGTCCTGGCTCGCGATTGTAGAGGATGTCGCTGTAGACTTTTTCGAGTGGTGCGTACGCTGGAGCGCTCGGGTTGTGATGTGAAGCAAACGGTCGATGAGGTAAGTCAGCTTCGGGACATATAAGGCAAGTCCCTCGTGCCTTCTGGAGTTCTCTGCCATCGGGTAGAAGTAGAGAATCTTTGTCAAGGACTCCTGCTCTTATCGTGTTATTCAAAACCGTGTTGCTTGGATGTCCTGTTCGTGCGTGCCAGATCTCTTCAGAGGCACGGTGTCCAGGTGAACGCTGATATGCGTCGGAGTTGGAGTAAAAGCTGGCGACGAGGTTGGCGCTTCGGTGGACTTCACGTTGAGTCGGATTCAGCTGTTTCGCGGGTGTTGGTGGTGCTTCGTCGACTGTGACTGGTGTCGTTGTTCCTGCTGCTGCTGATGTTGTTGCTGCTGCCGATGTTGTTACTGCTGCTGATGTTGTTGCTGCTGCCGATGTTGTTACTGCTGCTGATGTTGTTGCTGCTGCCGATGTTGTTACTGCTGCCGATTGTCGAATTGTTGCTAATGCTCGTGTTCGTTCTGCTTCAGGAATGGTGTGCGAGTACCAGAAGCCTCCTGGGCTGAAGTCGGGGTCGAGATCCGGAGGGTGTGTCCAGTCAGTGAAATTCACGATGGCGTCGCTGTCTGCAGTGCCCAGGTCAGGAACGAAGTCGAGGACGAAGACGTTGTTCTTCAGCACTGCTTTCCCGATGTAGAGACCGCCTCTCCCGTGGTAAAGTTTGAACTCCTGGGTCGTGCTGTCGGCTTCCAGATGAATTCCTTTCGCCATCAACTGGCTAACGCTCAGTAAGTTGTAGCCGAGTCCTTCAGCGATGAGTACCTTAGACATGTGCAGTATGACATTTGTTTCTCTTGACTGAAGCTGTACCACTCCTTGTCTTCGTGTGCGCAGGTTTTGGTTGTTGGCAACCGTGATGATCACTTCCCGTTGGAGTCGATGTTCGCGTTGTACGAAACGCCCGGACGAGCACATGTGTTGCCCGCAGCAACTGTCCAAGAACCAGGTGTCTTGGCCGGACGGTTCACTTTGAGCGATGGCGGCGTACGTTGGATTCGGCTGGAGTAGCTCACGGCGAGGCGTTCTGTTGTCAAGCTCTTCTTCCGGTGAGTAGTGTGGTGGTGATTCGGTTGTACATGAATCGGTTATCTTCGTCATGCAGTTGATTATATTTCTTGCTCCTTGTGCAGGTTGTCCGGGTGAAGTCGTTGAAGCTTGAATAGTGGTCGTCGCACTTGCTTGTGTTGAAGCCATTTGGGAGCTTGAAGGTCGAAGTTGTCGCTGTGGTGCCGTTGATTGCTGACGATTCGGGCAGTGTGTGCGCGGGTGCCCTGAAGTCTTGCAGATGTGGCAGAAGGGAGGTACTATCTTCGGTTGCTGCTGTCGGTTGTTATAATTGCTGTGTCGTCGTTGAGTGTGGAATGCGAACTCTGATACTGTCGTTTTCTTCCTGTGTCGTTCTTCCTGCAGGTCCATATCTTGCTGCTCGGCATGTATTTCGGCGCAGAGTGCAGCTTCAGAGATTCTTCCGTGGGCTCGAAGAATGGCTTTGGTGGCGCGCCACTGAGGACCAAGCCCACCAATGATGACTGTCACGAAGGCGTCTTCAGAGATTGACCCTCCGCATCGAAGCAGCTTGTCGCGCAGTTCGCGACATCGGCTGATATACGCCAGTCCTTTTTCTCCTGGTTTCATTTCGACTGTCGTCAACTGCGCCATTAACCTGCTCTGGTTTACACTGTCTGTTGCTTGATACAGGTTCTTCAGATGGCTGTACGCGAGCTCCGCCGAGTTGCCGAAGGTCCGGTAAGAGCGAATGTTCTGCTGCTGAGTTGGTGTCACATTCCTCAATAGGATTGTATACGCCATCATTGATTGATACGTATACTGCTGCTTTTCATATTGTGTCCCGTTGGCTGGATACTGCAGGGACCCGTCGAAGAAGCCGAGTATCTGCGCGCCCTCCATCATCAGCTCGAATTCAAAGGACCAGGTAAAGAAGTCTTTGCCGTCGAAGGGTCTTGACGTTTGCAGTTTTAAGACGTGTGCAAACTGCGACTGAACTTGAAGTGCGTCCAGTGGTCTTTCTTGTCCAGGTGAAGGTTGCGGGTGGGGCACGAAGCTGATTGACCCGCGCTCGTACGGAGCAAAGGTAGGTTGCTGCTGCTGGTTTCCTCGCGCATATGACGACCCATCAAGACTCATGGGTGTCGCTCCGTTGTTGCTGTTGTGTGTTTGTGCAGGTCCCGACTGCTGGTGTTGTTCGTAGAAGGACATGAAGGAGAAAAATTTCTCCATCATGTTCTGGTCAAAGTCCGAAGGGTGGTTCATGGGGGTCTCGGTTGACGTTCCTCTTGGTCTTGTTGCCGTGCCTTCTTCTGTCAGCAGGCCAGAGGCTGACGGTGGAGTAGGAGTAGTGCCCGAGGAGCCATTAGGGGAGCTCCTTTCCTTGTTTGTTGCCATGTCTTGTAATGATATTGAAAAAGAGTAGAATTTCCCTTGTCTGCTCTCATACCATGTTGGGCTGAGATAGCCCCTTAGGATCTTTGCAAGGGATAACTCTAGGTGAAGTAGTTGTAATAGCGGAAGCGTTTAGTGAAGAATTTGAACCGACCTTGCACTGGTGTGTGAGAGCAAAGTTGATTAAATTAAACAAGCAAATACAAGGATTTATATAAGAGTACAAGGAATAGATAGATAACTGTATTGCTGTTGCGGTTCGATATAGCGCGACTCGGGCAACTGCTCTGTAACGAGTCAGTTGTGTGTCCTTAACTGTCGCGCTGTAATTGTCGAGTCAAAGGTCAGCGACCTTTGACTTTCTCGTAACCTCCAGGCGGTTACCCTAACCTCCGAGGTTGACTCGATGCTTCGATTGGGACTGCTTCGCTTGGTACCTTGGATTTTGATACGACAGAAGCGCACTTAGGACTTATTGTTTCCAACAACTCCATGCACATCATTATTCATATATAAGCATGCGGCATGCACATGCATCTCATTTCATTCACCACCGCAACGAGCATTTCAAGAAGTCAAACCATGGAAAATGGCATGCCAAAATTCCATATACATAAAAGCATTTAAAGCAACAGTATACTTTCGAAAGTTGGGTTTCCAAATTCCTAAGGAACTTTAAAATGGTTACCAAATAACAAGCCCACAAGCTCGTCCCAACCCCCCTCACAAGTGCTCCTCGCCATGTTCAAATCCTAAGGACTTGCAGAAGGAGACAGATTGACGGGAATGAGGTTTTGCCTCACAGCTGCCTAGGAAAGATAAATCATATCGTGAGCACGCCTCGCCACGTACCCGATTTTAGAGGCGCGCTCTTCCTAGTTATAGACAAGTCGTAAGCCTACTTCGCGCGCACTCGAACGGACAGCGTTTCGTTCTCGTCTTCGCGCGGTCTCGCCTTGCGACGGAACAATGCCATACTCGTCGCGTTCCGTTCGCGGCCTCTCTGAGTCGTCAGACATATGCGAGAGCGTGTACGCGTCTTCGCATCTCTAGCTTATTTCGCGGTGAGAAGGGGGAATCAAGGCCCCACTCGCTTCCCACCATCCCGCCGCCTGACCTCCGCTTCCCGCCACCCCATCTCCACTGCTCGCCGCCCGCGTTCCCCTTCCCGCTGTCCGATCTCCCCTTCCTGGGCGCCCGAAGCCCCCTTTCCGCAGTCTCTTGCCTTACCCCCGCGTGCTCCTATCGCCTCCCGGTTCTCGTTCGCCTGTCGCTATCCCGCGCGTGCTCCTCTCGCCTCCCCGCGCGCTCTTATCGCCTCCCCGCGCTGCCTCCTCTCGCCTCCCCGCGCGGCCTCCTCTCGCCTCCCCGCGCGGCCTCCTCTCGCCTCCCCTCGCGCGCTCCTATCGCCTCCCCGCGCGGCCTCCTATCGCCTCCCCGCGCGGCTTCCTCTCGCCTCCCCGCGCGGCCTCCTATCGCCTCTCCACGCGTGCTCCTCTCGCCTCTCTGCGCGTGCTCCTCTCGCCTCCCCGCGCGCTCCTTTCGCCTCCTCGCGCGGCCTCCTCTCGCCGCCCCGCGCGGCCTCCTCTCTCCTCCCCGCGCGGCCTCCTCTCACCTCCCCTCATTTTCTCCCTTGCACGCCCTCATTTCCCCCCTTGCACGCCCTCATTTTCCCCCTTGCACGCCCTCATTTTCCCCCTTGAATGCCCTCATTTTCCCCCTTGAATGCCCTCATTTTCCCCCTTGAATGCCCTCATTTTCCTCCTTGCACGCCCTCATTTCCCCCCTTGCACACCCTCATTTTCCCCCTTGCACGCCCTCATTTTCGCCCTCTGCCCTGCCCTCATTTCCCCCTTGCACGACCTCACTTTCCCCCTTGCACGCCCTCATTTTTCTCCTTGCACGCCCTCACTTCTCCCTCCCTTCTCTCTCTCCCTTCCTTCTCCCTTCTCTCCATTTCCCCCCTTCTCTCCCTTCCCTCCCTACCCTCCCTTCCCTCCCTTCTCTCCCTTCTCTCCCTCCCCTCCCTTCTCTCCCTTCCCACCCTTCTCTCCCTTCCCTACCGTCTCTCCCTACCCTCCCTTCTCTCTCTTCCCTCCCTTCCCTCTCTCTTCTCTCCATTCCCCCCCTTCTCTCCCTTCCCTCCCTTTCCTCCCTTCCTTCCCTTCTCTCCCTTCCCTCCCTTCTCTCCCTACCCTCCCTTCCCTCCCTTCTCACCATTTCCTCCCTTCCCTCCCTTCCCTCCGCCCCTCCCCCTTTCGCTCTTCCTCACCCTTCCCCGTCCCGCCCACTCTCTCTAACCAGCCAGGTCTCTGACTGGGGCAGCAGTGATCTGAGTCTGTGGGAAGAAGGGTCAGTTCGCGCGCACGAGGGCGGAGCAGGTCAATTTCAACACGTGTGTGGCGTTCTGCAGCAGAGGCGCCGTGGAGTGGCGGGGGATCCACCTTGCACTGCTGGGGTCGCTGCTGCTCTGTTTTTTTGCTCTCATGTCACACTACTGCCGTCCTCCCGCCACACCTGGTAAGTTTACTTATTCTTATTCTTATACTTATCCCGCCACATGTTCACACTCGGCCCTGCCGCGTCCGCTGCTCCTCTGCTTCTCCACGTTCATGCTCATCCACACCTTCTTGTCCTGCTAGCCTACCCCCCTCGAACTAGCTCAACTCCCACCTGCTAGCCCCTTTCCTTCCCATGCACTATCCTAAACTATCTAGCATAGCTAGGCTTCCCGTCGCAGTGTGAGTCGGTCTGCTATCTGCATCTACCCTACCCTCCAGCATAGCCTGCAAATCTTTCCATGCCCTTCTCTCTCTGCGCCTCTCTTCCTGCCCCTCCCTCTCGGCGCTTCTCTTCCTGCCCCTCCCTCCCTGCGCCTCTCTCACTGCCATCCACTCTCTGTGCCGCTATTCCTGCCCTCATCTCTCTGCGCCTCTCTTCCTGCCCCTCCCTCCCTGCGCCTGTCTTCCTGCCATTTCCTCTATGCGTCTAAGAAAAGCCCTATTTGTGCCAATTTGCCTGCACCTCTCTGTGCCAGGGTACCAGCACCTCTCTGTCCCCGATCTCTTTGTCCCGCCTCCTCATCTCCCCTTCATGCATCCCCCCAGGAGCTTCCCACCACCACAGCCTCTTTTCCATCTTCCCATAGCATTCGCTCTCCACCCCACCCCTCACCACTTGCAACTCATCTGCCTTGTCCTTCGCCCGCTGTGCAGTTTCCTGCCCCTCAATGCACCTCTCTCCCTTCCCTCTACCCTCTCTTCCTTCCCCAGCCATTCTGCCTTTCCACTGCTAACGTTCCCTTCTCTTGCCTATTGCCAACCCTTGTCGACACTTCCCAACCCAATGCGGTAATGTGCTATGCCGTGTTGATTACAGTTTCTGTACTGCCCCCCAAACACCCCTTTGTCACTCCTTTTTTTCCCAGTACCTTTTCATTTTGTCTCTGTACCCGCCTCCATTCCTGCGATTCCCTCCAGACACCAGTGATGTTCTTGTGGGGTTGTGCGCGTCGTCAACAGGGGCCGCTAGGTTTTAGGGTTGGTGTTGAGGGTGAGGAGGATGAAGAGGAGGATAAGGAGAGGCGATGTAATAGGCCGCATACATGGTATCCAGTGCCCTAGATATCAGACGTTGGTGTCTGAATCAGAGTCCGTTCAGACTTTTTTTTTGTACCTAGTCTGAACTCAAAGAATTTATTTATGTACCTTGTCTGGATTTCCAGAGTTTTTTCTTATGAGTTGTCTGAAATTTCAGCCTAATTTTACTAGGGTAGGCTGAGCCTCAGACTTGTATCGGGTCGGGGATACACTCTGCGCGCTTATCGGAGCAAAGTTTCCTGGAAGTTTCCTTCCGATATGCCCACTTCCCAGATGACAGCTGGGACATCCAAATACACTCGTTCGTCGAGAATATCTTCCAGTTACGCTGAGGAAATGGTTGCGTGATTACGAGATTTCTGAAGACAAAATCTCGTCACATGTAAGTTATCGCTTATGTATTGTAAAGAATAGGCGACTTTGATGCTGATTCGCTGTAAAAACATCTGCAGCACGCACTGGTGTTAATTGCGAAGTTCCTGATTCGTACTGAAAGTTTCGTGTGGCACTGTCTGATCCTCACATGCCACGCCAAGCAACAGTTTCTGCCTGCTGCCAGCTCAGCTTCGTGGCACTTGGCCCACCTGATAAAGATCGGGTGAACGATCGAATCGCTTGAAAAGCAAATCCAAAACTGACAAAATCGGCACACATGCGAGAAAATGGGTACAGAACGGTTATCACACACACGACAAAACGAAATGAGATCAGCAGAGCAGAAACAACCATGCGCTGCACGTGACAAAAACACTGGAACGCCGCCGACATGAGCAGAGGCGATGCACGAGCACGAGCACGTTGCCGGATGCGTTGGTATGGTAGGCTGTAATCAGCCTCAATGCTATTATAACTGCTTTTACGAAACTGCATGAACATCTTAAAATTTGAAGTAACTCTGACAGTTCATACAATTTTTTTTGTGCTTGTCTGAATTTTCAGACTAAAAATTTGAGGCACCTCTGACAGACAGAGTTCCAGGAGGGGTGTACTCTGAGGCCTCAGACTACCTCAAAACGAATCTAGGGGCCTGATGGTATCCCAATCTACGGTTGGCTGATACTCGAATTTGTATCCTTTGAGACAATTGTTGTCATGTGATTTTATGAGTACGATGCAATCAATAGTGTTGTGTTACTTATGGTGCAAACCATGAACAGTGAAAACGAAGCATCTATTTCTTGAGGGTGGGGTGGGGGCTGTGATGACATGCTCAGCATCTCCCATCCCACAATCTGGTACTGGTACCACGGGAAGGGGGGAGGAGGTCAGAGAGTCTACAAAGAAATGTCCATGTTAGTACAAGCAACAAGTGACTCTAAACCCGTTCCCAGAACAAGCATTCAGAGCGTGCCCAAATAGACGGTGAAGGCACGAGCCGATCGAGCATAGAGCTGCACGCTGTGAACAGGAGAAAGGCTGGTGTTGGTGCAGATGGCTGCCTCCTTGCTCACCTGACACATGGACAGATGATATGGGGGAGAAAATAGGAGGGAGAGAAAGAGGGCCGCGACAGGGAAGAAAATAGGAGGGAGAGAGTGACGAGGGGATATTAGGAAGGGAGAAGGGAGGCGACAGCGCTGTTGCTGGGCCATCGTTGATCAACCCCTGCCTGCACCAGCACCGTACGAGCCCAATCTGACTGGGGACGAAGCTGGCGAAAACAGGCACACGAGACACGCTTACCGCTTAAAGGCCGAGGAATTGCTGGGAAGAGGATGAAATGAGTGGCATGGGGGGTATAGATAGAGGGCGGGATAGATGGGGTGAGGGAGAGATGGGGTGAGGGAGAGGCGGGGTGAGGGAGAGATGGGGTGAGGGAGAGGCGGGGTGAGGGAGAGATGGGGTGGGGATGAGTTGGGGTGAAGAAGAGATGGGGCGAGGAAGAGATGGGATGAGGAAGAGATGGGGGGAGGGAGGAATGGGATGGGAGAGATGGGGAGCGTGGAGGATGGGTGGGGTGAATGGGGACAGTCATGGCAGACACACCCAATGCATATAGCGGCAGGAAATGGCAAGTGAGGAGAAAGGGAGTTGCTTGGGGTGAGATGGGGTGAAGGAGAGATGCAGGGATGGAAAGGAGACAATGCAAGGAGTGAAAGGAGGGGAAGCAGAGGGGGCAATCAGAGGATGCAGGGAGGGAAAGGAGGGGATGCAGGGGGGGAGAGGAGGGGAGACAGGAGGGAAAGGAGGGGAAACAGGGGGGAAAGGAGGGGAATCAGCGGGGGAAAGGAGGGGAAACAGGAGGGAAAGGACGGGAAACAGGGAGGGGAAAGAGGGGAAACAGGGAGAGGAAGGAGGGGATGCAAGGAGTGAGAGGAGGGGATGCAGGGAGGGAAAGGAGGGGAAACAGGGGGAAAAGGAGGGGAAGCAGGGGGGGAAAGGAGGGGAAACAGGAGGGAAAGGAGGGGAAACAGGGGGGAAAGGAGGGGATGCAGGGGGGGAAAGGAGAGGAAACAGGAGGGAAAGGAGGGGGAACAGGGAGGGGAAAGAGGGGAAATAGGGAGAAGAAGGAGGGGATGCAAGGAGTGAAAGGAGGGGATGCAGGGAGGGAAAGGAGGGGAAACAGGGGGAAAAGGAGGGGAAGCAGGGGGGGAAAGGAGGTAAAGCAGGGGGGGAAAGGATGGCAAGCAAAGGGGGGAAAAGGAGGGGATACAGGGGGGGAAGGGAGGAGAAGCATGGGGGGAAAGGAGGGGAAGCAGGGGGGGAAAGGAGGGAAAGCCGTGGGGGAATAGGGGGGAAGCAGGGGGGGAAAGGAGGGGAAGCAGGAAAGGAGGAGAAGCAGGGGGGGAAAGGAGGTAAAGCAGGGGGGGAAAGGAGGGCAAGGGAGGAAAGGAGGGGATGCAAGGAGGGAAAGGAGGGGAAACAGGGGGAAAAGGAGGGGAAGCAGGGGGGGAAAGGAGGTAAAGCAGGGGGGGAAAGGATGGCAAGCAAAGGGGGGAAAGGAGGGGATGCAGGGGGGGAAGGGAGGAGAAGCATGGGGGGAGAAGGAGGGGAAGCTGTGGGGGAAAAGGGGGGAAGCAGGGGGGGAAAGGAGGGGAAAAATGGGGCTAGCATGGGGGGAAATATGGGGCTAGAATGGAGGAAATATAGGGCCAGCAGTAGGGGGGTGACATGGGGCTAAGAGGGCAGAAATGTCAAATGATATATATGCTATATATGCTATATATGTTTAGGTTGTAGTGGGGTAGCTAACATGGGGTATAGCCCCATTAGGGTTTCATGTTTGTACCCAACTCTGTTCTAGTCCATTCATTCCTGCCTAGACTTCTGAGATGGTATTCAGAGCAGTAGGTCCGTAGGACTGTCTTTTTTTTTCAAGCCCACCTACCGCTACCCCGCGACTGTGACTGTGACTGTGCCTAGGACGTGCTGCGCTGTGCGCACTGTCTGCCTGCTGCCTGCTGTCTGAGCTGTCTACTGCTGCTTCACGTGCACAGACCTAATTCCCGCGCGCTGCCCTCTTTTGCCCCGCGCGTCGCCCTCCCTGCTCGCGTCGCGCCTCGGCAGCCGCGTCGCGCCCCGCGCACCGCCTGCGCAGCCCGCGTCGAGCCTGCGCAGCGCGCACGCAGTTTGCAGCTGCCCCGCGCACCATCCGCGCAGCCCGCGTCGTGCTCTGAGAGTCCGCGCGCGGCCCTTCGCAGCCACGCGCACCGCCCTACCTGCTCGAGCCGCGCCTCTGCAACCTGCGTGCGGCTTGCTGCTGCCCCGCGCGCTGCTTGAGCTGCCTGCGCCTGCTTTGAGCGCCGCCCTTGCTGCTCGCGCCCTTTGCCTGCTGCATGCTGCCTACTGCCTTTGCCTATTGCCTTTGCCTGCACTGCGATTATGGCGACACTTAATGTTCTCGCGTTTGAGCCTAATGGTCGCCCGATAGAGTTCACCACGTGGCTCGACGATCTCCAACTATTTTTTCCGACTGATGCCAAAGACGGCGTTTCACTGTTTGATTAGGCGTCTGGCACTGCCGTTGCTCCTGCTGACGATGCTACCGCTCTCGAACGCTCACAGTGGCAGACTCACGATGCTGCTGCACGCCTAGCTATTCGAAATCATCTACTGATCACTGAGCGCGCGCATTTCAGCCAGCACAAAACTGCTAAGGCACTGTATGACGCTGTAGTTGCGCGCTACTCCTCCCCGGCCACTGCAGCCCTAGGTCGGCTCATGCTACCCTACCTGTTCCTAGACCTGTCCTCGTTTACCACTGCTGAGGACCTCATTTCTCACCTTCGCGCTAGTGACACTCGCTTTCGTGCCGCCCTTCCAGCCGAGTTCTGCGCCGAGACCCCCCCCCCCCCCCCCCCCCCCCGATGTACTTCACTCTCTATTTCCTCGTCACCCGCCTCCCTGACACTCTTAGCTCCGTCAGGGACCACCCTCTAGCCCTAGACCCTACCACTCTCACTATCGCCGACTTTGAGAAGCACCTCTTAGCAGCAGAGAAGAACATCCTCGCTGTAGGTGTTGCTCGTGATACTCCTTGCAGGTGCTCCCCCTCCCCTCTTACCCCCTCCTACGCCTCCGCAGCTATTGCTGTCGACCTCCTTGGTGCTGAGAAGGTCGTTGCTGCTTCCGCTCCTAGTGGGAAGCGCAGCGGCTCCAGGGGAGGCAGAGGTGGCAGGGGTGGCAAACGTGGCGGTGGAGGGGGCGGTGGTGGAGGCGGCGGGGGGGGGGTGGAAGTGGTGGGGGTGGTCTTGGGGGTGGAGGTGGTGGTGGGGGCGGTGGTGGTGCCGGGAGCAGTGGCGGTGGCGGCGGCGGAGGTGGCGGAGGGGGGAGTGGTGGTGGCGGCGGTGGTGGGGGCTTGGGTGAGACCAGTGGTGGCTAGGGGCAGCAACAGCATCAGCAGCAGCCGCAGCAGCGTCAGCGCAAGACCCCCACTTCCTAGCAGCTTCATGACTGGTATGTCGGGCGTGGGGCGTCTGGGGGTCCTGGTCGCTGCCCCTATATCATTCGTGCAGGTCCCCGTGCTGGTCGCCAGTGCACCGGCTTTCACACTGAGTACCGCTTCTTCGCTCGGCTTAGCGATGCCTGGCGCGTCAAGTTTCCTGATGCTACTGAGTTCCGCAACTGGGCAGACCTGCTTAGGCGTGATGTACCTATCTTTGATCTTGACTATGATGCTTTTCTTGCTGCCATGTATGCATTGATTGTTAGTGCTGAGGGTGACTGCTACTTGTGTGTGCCGCATGACCCCGGTATAGCCCCAGGTGTAGCGCCTGCAGCTGTAGGTGCTCGTGAGTCTGCTCTCCCTGGTACTGCGTCCGCACAGGCCTTGCACACCTTTACACTTGACTCTGGTGCTTCCCGCTGTTTCTTTTGCGACAACAGTCACTCCCCTCCTTGCACCTGTCCCTGTCTCCCTGGCTGACCCCTCTGGGGGCCCAGTGCTTGCACGGTCTACCACTATGCTTGCGTGTCCGGCGGTCCCGTCTGTGAGCTGTCTGGTCTCCACCTCCCCTCGTTCTCTACGAACTTGGTGAGCAACGCCGTCCTTCTGGATCATTAGGTTGACACCTTTACTCCTGGAGGACAGCGTGTGGCGATCTGTATGTGCTCCCGGACCGGCCGTCACGTGGCCATGTTCACACGTGAGCCTGGGTCCAGTCTGTACACCCTCACCACCACATCACGCTACACCCCTTTGTCTCCTCAGCTGTACGCGTCTGCTCAGGTAGCTACACAGTGTGAGTGTCGTCGCCTATCGCACCAGACTCTCCTTTGGCACCACCGCCTTGGTCACCCCTCCTTGCCTCGCCTGCGTGGCATGCACTCTCGCTCCCTGGTCTCTGGTCTTCCTAGGTCTCTGCCTGACCTCCCTCCCTCGCCTGCGCCGCCCTGCATTCCTTGCGCCGAGGGGCGGCAGCGCACCGCTCCTCACTCCTCCTCGTTCCCTCCCACAGAGGCTCCACTGCAGACTCTCCACTTGGACGTGTGGGGCCCAGCCAGCGTCCAGGGGCACGGCCACGAGTGGTACTTCCTGCTGGTTGTCGACGACTACACGCGTTACACCATGGTCTTCCCCTTGCGGTGCAAGGGGGAGGTCCCTGATGTTTTGATCCCCTGGATCCACGCTGTTCGTCTCCAGCTTCGCGAGCGGTTCCAGTCGGACTTTCCTGTCCTGCGTCTGCACTCTGACAGAGGTGGTGAGTTCTCCTCTGACCTCTTGCGAGCCTACTGTGAGGAGCACGGCATCCGCCAGACGTTCACGCTTCCGGCCTCTCCACAGCCGAATGGGATTGCTGAGCGCCGCATTGGCTTAGTCATGGAGGTCGCTCGTACCTCCATGATCCATGCGGCTGCCCCCCTATTTTCTATGGCCATTTGCGGTCCGGTACGCCGCGCATCAGCTCAACCTCTGGCCCTGTCTCTCTGTGCCGGAGACTTCGCCCACACTGCGCTGGACGAAGGAGGTTGGCGATGCGTCACGTTTTCGAGTTTGGGGTGCTCGTGTCTTTGTCCGCAATACCACTGCGGACAAGCTCTCCCCTCGCGCCATTCCCTGCGTCTTCCTTGTCTTTGTCCCTGACGCGCATGGCTGGCAGTTTTTCGACCCTGCCTCGTGGCGTGTCTTTCCGTCTCAGGACGTCACCTTTGACGAGTCAGTCCCCTTTTACCGTCTCTTTCCCTACCGCACTGCCCCCCCCCCCGGCTGCTCTTTCTCGCTCCAGGTCCTCCCCAGGTAGACCCCCTCCCCGCGCCAGGTCCTGCTCCTTCAGGTGTTGCTCAGGTAGACCCTCCCGTGCCTGCGCCTGTTGAGGTCATTGGTGACTCAGGTCCTGCTGGGGGTGGTCCTGCTCGGGATGCTGTCTCTGGGGGTGCTGAGCCTGGGGGTGCGGAGCCTGAGCGTTAGGAGCGTGGGGGTGTTGAGCCTGGGGGTACGGAGCCTGGGGGTGCTGAGCCTGAGCGTGAGAAGCCTGGAGGTGCTGAGCCTGAGCGTGAGGAGGCTGGAGGTACTACGCCTGGGGGTGCTGCGTCTGGGGGTGCTGCGTCTGAGGGTGCTGCGGCTGAGCACAAGGAGCCTGGGGTTGTTGAGTCTGGGGGTGCGGCGCCTGAGGGTACTGAGACTCCTGGTGCGCGGTCTCCTTGGAGAGGTCGCCTTCGTCCACGTGCGCCTCTCTCCCCTCAGTAGCTGCACAAGTGGTACGCTAGCCGTCAGGGTCGCGCTGCTGGAGCTTGGGGCTCTGCAGCTGTGAGTGGTGCTGGTACTTTATCTACAGGAGGTGCTGGAGTCGCTGGTTCCGGAGGTGCTCGTACTGGAGGTATTGGAGCTGCTGGAGCTGGCGGTGTTGAGTCTAGGGGTGCCACTGCTGGAGACCCTGGGGCTGGAGGTGCCGGTTCTAGGGGTACTGCTGCTGGTGACGCTGGTACGGGAGGTGCTCGAGCTGGAGGTTTTGGAGCTGCTGGTGATGCTGGTACTGGAAGGTGCTGGCGCTGGAGGTTCTGGGGCTGCTGGTGACGCTGGTATTGGAGGTGCTGGCGCTGGAGGTTCTGGAGCTGCTGGTGACACTAGTACTGGAGGTGCTGGCACTGGAGGTTCTGGAGCTGCTAGTGGTGATGGCGCTCAAGGAGCTGGAGTTGGAGGTTCTGGAGCTGCTGGAGGTGCTGGAGCTGTTGGTGGTGCTGGAGCTGCTGATGCTGGTGGCTCTGCACAGCCACGACTATTCTCTGCTCCGCCGTCTCTGTCGTCTCTACCACCGCCTGACTCCGTGCTTCGCCAGGCTCTTAGCCTCCTGTCGTCTACTGGTCTTCCGTTACAGCATGGCTCACCGCTACCTGCTCCTTCTCCTTACACTGAGCAGCCGGGGGGTCTTCCTGAGCGTCGTGAGCCTGCGTTGCGTCCTGTCTCGCCTATCCGCACTGGTCGTCGTGTTCCTCGTCCCATCCGCTGGCTGTCCCCGGCACACACCTCATGGCTCTGCGTCCTTCCTCTACTCCGCAGCGTGTTCCTCTGCCATCTCCTCCTGCGTCTTCTCTGTATGTCGTTGCTGACTCTGAGTCTGACCGGTTTTGTGCTGAGCACCCTACTGTCACGCGTCTGCTAGCCACTGTTGTCACTG